GTGGCTATTTTAGAAGAGAAGCACAATTAGGTAAAGAGCAGCCTGCGTTTCACAGCGCTGCTGTGTGTACTTCCTTCTCTGAGGAGCACGAATTTGGAAAATTATACAACATTCCAATCCTAACTTTTCTTCCCAGGATACAGTCCTTTCGTGGGAAAAACTTGTTAGTTAAATAAACAAGAAAAGCCCTCAATCAACAGAAACATCAGTAAACCTCAATCATCTGGAATGATGCAGAAACAAATACCAAAAAAAATAAAAAACCCACCTCTTGGGAGTGGCCAAAATGTCCCTAAACCATTGCAATTATCCATTCGAGTGCACAAGTGCACATTAGAGGCGTTTGTTTTCATGTGATGTCAGATTCCAGCATTGGGGTGAAAGGTTTTCCAGTCTCTGAGGCCCAGAGCAGCAAATCAGAGAAGGCAGAACCTGATCTTTCCAGCTGGACAGCATGATAGAGATAAGGAAACCAGAATGCCACCTCATACCACGGCCCTCACCACAGAAAGGCCCACACCAACAGCCCCTTAGACATGACTGTCTAAGAACAAAGCAGTTCAGGAGACAAGTGAGAAATCGCTGCTGGGTACAAGCAGAGCCAGGAAGCCGGGAGCTCTCCATAGCTCACACCCCAAGTGGTGGAAGGCTGCCCCTTGGGCCAGCTCCCCAGCAGCAATTCAAGCATGCCTAAGGGCTAGGAATGTGGCTTAGTAGTAGAGTGCTTGCCTTGCATGCATGAAGCCCTGGGTTTGATTCCTCAGTACCACATAAACAGAAAAAGCCAGAAGTGGCCCTGTGGCTCCAGTGGTAGAGTGTTAGCCTTGAGCAAAAGAAGCTCAGGGAGGCTGGGAAGGTGGCTCAGTGGTAGAGCGCTTGCCTTGCATGCATGAGGCCCTGGGTTCAATTCCTCAGCACCACATAAGCAAAAAGAAAAAAAGCCGGAAGTGGTACTGTGGCTCAAGTGGTAGAGTGCTAGCCTTGAGCTGAAGAGCTGAGGGACAGCACCCAGGCCCAGAGTTCAGGCCCCACGACCGGACCCCCCCCCAAAAAAAAAAGCAGCTCAGGGACAGTACCCAGGCCCTGAGCTCAATCCCCAGAACTAGCAAAAAATAAAAAATAATAAATTCATTAAATAAATAAAATCTCTAGCATGCCTGGTCAGAAGTGCAAGCTATGCATGCTTCCTGTAATGACCCTGTCTCTAATGAGAGGGAGAAATCATGTTTAACATCTTTACTGAAGGTGAAAACACCATGTGGAATGCATTTCAGAAAAACAAACAATATAAAACTGAGATTCCAAGTCAACACTGTTTTAGCTGCCATGACAAAAAAGCAATTGAAATGGAGGCAAAAGGAATTTTACTAACTCTGTTTATTAATGCAAAGGTATCTCAGCTTGAGAAACGAGTGAATCCAAGAGGCTTGAATATTACCGGGACTCAGCATCTGTCTTCTGTTGGTTCCTTCCAGACTTCAGTCTACAATCTACAGATTGGCTCTGCCCAGTGTCAAAATGGATGCCTACAGCTCCACGTAAGTGAACAAGAGACCCTCCTCTAGGCAAACCACAGAAACCAAGAGACAAAACTAATAATACATGCCCATCCTGGATACAATCCCTACAGCCAGAAATGTGCCCAGTGTTCTGAATGGCCAAACTTGGACAAGGTATCTCTTTCCAAACAGGGGTGAAGTTAGCTCCACTCACAGCAGAGACAGAATGGGAAAGAGATGGGCAAAAATGAGGAGCTGTGTGTGTGTGGGGGGGGTGATATGATGTTTCCATGAAATGGGGTAAAATGTTGGGCAGAGTGCTATAGATGTCTATCAGAACAAGATAAACCCTTGACTGTCTAGTATATGAAAAATGACTTTCCTGAGGCCTCTGGGTATAATTTGTTTTGTTTTATTACAATAAATGTTTACTACATAGATGAATTAGTGGCAATCAATTAGATCACTAGTGCTGTAGAAAATATGTATGCACAAATAAGCAAATATGTCTCTATATACACATCCAATATATACACTTCATATAAATAGTACATGCTAATAAAAATATAAAAAACAGGAAATGAAAGTACAATTTAAGCGTAACTTAAAATGACTATATCATAGGCCATCAATCAAATCTGCTGCCCTATTTTTTGTTGTTGTTGTTGTTGTCAGTCATGGGGCTTGAACTCTGGGCCTGGGCACTGTCCCTCAGCTCTTCAGCTCAAGGCAAGCGATCTACCACTTGAGCCACAGTGCCACTTCCGATTTTCTGAGTGGTTTATTGGAGAGAAGAGCCTCATGGCCGTTCTTTCCCAGGCTGGCTTTGAATTGAGATCCTCAGATGTTAGCCTCCTGAGTAGTTAGGAATACAGTCTTGAGCCACCCGTGCCTGGCCTGCTCCCATTATTTTTAACTCTGTACATCACCTTTACAATAAGTAAGTAAATAAGTAAATAAATAAAATATCCTTAAGGTTATCATTTTGGTCATGAGAGTTCCAGAAGAGGAAGAAAAAAAATGTGAATATTTTTAGGGCTATTAATGTGGGCCTAATTAGTTTTGTTTGCAAATGATTGTGACAAAAAATGGCAGTGACTCTTGAGTTTTCAAATGTGTATGTGAATTCTTTTAGTCATTTGGGGTTTTGTCTTATTTTGTCACTTGGAACCAAAAGCCTCTGGACAATTTACTTTGTAATCTTACTTTATTCACATGTGGTGACAGAATCTCTGCAAAAGGAGACCCCTTTAGAGTCCCTATCAAGCATACTCAGGGAGCAATGAGTCCTCATCTTTCCCTAAAGTGTTCCGTCAGTCACAGCTGCAGGGAGAACCCCAGGCTGAGTCTCAGGGTAGAGGTACCTGGCTGATGCCAGTCAGCAGGGAGAGGCTGGCAAGGGTGACCCAGCTGCCATTCCTTGGCTGAGTGCCCGCTCTAGGGATTAACACTCCGTCATTGGACAGGCACATCCTCCAGCCCCCACTTCTCCAACCAGGCCCATCTCCAAACGCTTCCATCACTTTCCAATAACATTCTTCAACTATGAACTCATCAGTGGGCAAACCCATTGGTTAGCTCAGAGAACTGAAGATCCAATCACCTTTCAATGATTGGAACCAAGTCTTTAATGTGAGTGTTTTTAAATATAGCCTATTTCAACAACAACATTTTGTTTTGAAGTTTGCAGAAAACTTCCTACTGAAAATACTCTATGACTTCTAATTAAGCAAAACCAAAAATATCAGCTTGACATTTAAGGGTGTCTAACTACCAGTCACCTCATTCATCATTCATTCTTCCAATTTATCATCCAATCAATCAATACTGACAGAGCCTGCTATGAGCCAAGCCCACACTAGGTGGGAGGACACAGGACAGGTAAAACCCACAGTATAACCATCTCCCTATACAAACTACACCCAAATCATAACATCTTTCAAACATGTGTATGGTCTTTTCAATAACAAATCTTTTTCATTAACTCACTGAAATATCTGAATGCCAGTCACTTTTCATGGCTTGCATAAAATATGTATTATAGCAACATTCATAACTATAACAAAGTACTTGAGGCAGGGTAACTTTATAAAGACATGTATAGATATAACAACCTATATAAACCAGGTGTTGGTGCCTCACGCCTGTAATCCTATTCAAGGATTAAGGTTCAAAACCAGCTTGGGCAGAAAAGTCTATGAAACTCTTATCTCCAATTAATCACCAAAAAGCTGCAAGTGGAGCTATGGCTAAAGTAGTAGAGTGTTAGTTAGCCTTGTGCAAAAAATGCTCAGGCCAGTACCCAGACGCCAAGCCAACCCCTCCCCAAAAAAGACAAAAAACATATAAATAGAATCATTATGGAGATCTTATAAGTTTAAGAGACCAAACAGTTGAGCTATTGCTCTAACAGTCTCCTCAGAAGGCTGTATCTAATCACAAGCCCCAGAAGGCAGCCTGTGGGAAGTGCTGTAGGATCCAACACACCTCAGAAATGTCCTCTACTACAAACCATCAAATTAAAAGCCAATAGACATAATCAACTTTCTAACTCGGTTTCCTAAAAGTGCTTTTATTATTAATCTCAGGGTGCCACTGGGATTTCTGGAGATCAGCGAGCCTCTCAGTCAGTCCTCATGAACAGTGTGGCTTCTGTCAAGTGCGGACAGCAGTCTGACAACATGAAGAGTGATCCTGTTAGAACCATCAAGGCAACTAAGCAGCACAGACAGCCCCTTCATCTTGGCAAGGAGGTGGACTGTACAGGGGCAGGCTCTGGACAAAGAGCCCACTCAGGAGACAATCTGGGTCTGTCCCCTCCAACACAGCCAGCGAGCCCCATGGTTCTCCTTTCAGAGCCAGTCATCTTAGCCTGGACCTCTTCCAAAGCACATTACCAGGCACTTGCCTATGTCCCAGGAAAACTCAATTAAGCATCTGCAGAAGCTTAAGTGACATAAGAGCTTGGTGGTTCCTCAGAAGAAAACAGTGGGCAAATGTACCCTGAATTAGACAACTTCCCCTATTGGGCTGTTAACTGTAAGTCAATTAAATATTAGTGAATACCCTCGAAAAAATGATGATTTTTCATTTTGAAAATATCAATCTTATTTCTGACAGTAATTGCATAATTGGACAAGTTGTCTATTAAGAAAACATCAAGTTCACAGTAATAAAATGATGTCACCACACTGTTCATCTAAGGAGAGTCTAGCCCATGTGCCAGGCACTCTGATATTGAATGAAGAGAGATCTATAGAAGCGAATGACCTAGAAAGGGGCTACAAAGAGTGAAGGAAAGGAAAAGCAATGGTGATATTAATTTCCCAGGTAGAGAAATGGGATTCAATATTTGTTGAGACAAATATTATACTATTTACCTTTAGAATAGATGAATACTACACAAATAACCTGGCCAAATATAATCTAGGCAAATAATACTTCTTGGTACTATAGCTGACAGAACACTTATTTCAGGGAGGAAAAAAAAAAGCACAGCACTGCAGAGTAAAAGGAATCATTTTAATCTGCACATTCATTGCCGGGAACACACCACTGATTTCTACTGTGTGCCCTGTCCAGTTCCACCTGCTTCCATTTACTTACTTTCCAACATGAAGCCATCTTCACAAGAGGCAGTTAAAACAAACTGTCTTCTTAAGCAGCACAGAGTACTTTGTCCTCAAAGGGCTTTAGCAACTGAAATGCTTCCAAAGAGCTCTAGGAGGCAGCTCAGCTTGTGGGGGCTTTCACTGAAATCCCTTCTGTAGAAGGTGGCGAGGCAGACATGGGCCTTCATTAAGCCTCCTATAAGAAGCCTCACGGAACAGTCTATTTATGGAAAATCAACTGAATCACAAGACCTTCCTGTGGTCATCCACTTCAGGGTCACTTGGTATTTGGGAAGGGAAGAAGTACCTAGCCTCATTGCAAGCGGCTTGCAGGGCTGTCAGAGTTCTCCTCCCAGCCACCAACCACCCTTGCACAACGAGTGACCCAGTGTGCTTGACGATGCAGAGTGGAAGGCAGGGCAAAGGCCATTTTATAACGGCACGTGGTGATAGTCTCCTCATTTCCTGCCAAATGGATCAGACCACACTTTCAACCCTATGGGAAGACATGGAAATAAAACAAAATTCAGTTTTAAATGTCGCAGCACTTCCCTCAATGCCAAACAAACAGAACAACACCCAAAATGAGTTGTGCAGCTTCCATGTGGTTAGACAAGAGACACAGGGGGGCCAGGGGGCCTTCTGGGACCTAGAATGAAGGGACCAGAAAGCAAAGGTGGCTAAGCGGGACCTTGAAATGACTCCAAAACTGCCCCATAATAGAAGATCTGTATCTGGCCTCATTAAGGAATAAATAAGATGCTGCCACAGATTAAGGAGTTTTGATTAATAAACTGAAAACCTCTCAGTCTCGGCCAACTTGAATCATCTTAAAGGAATGACCTATTCAGCCATAAAGAGGTTTTGGAGCTTTTGTATAAAGTCAAAACCCACATCAATTAAAATAGCACATAACAGGGCTCAAGTGGCAGAGTGCTAAGCTTAAGGGAAAAAAAAAAGGTCAGGGACAATGCCCAGTTCCTGAGTTCAAGCCCCAGTACTGGCACCCCCCCCCAAAAAAAAAACCACCTCACACGCAAATACCAGTTTCCCATGAGGGTGATGTTTAAATAGGTGCTTGGTAAATAAATCTGCAAAACAGCTATTCACACTTCATATTTAATTACACACTTGTTCCATTTTGTGCCCACTTATCAAGTGCAAAAGAGGAACTTGCAAAAAGTATTCTGCAGTGAAACATTAAAACAAAATCTTAGATAGCACCTAGAAAATAGCAACGATTACAAAATAAAGAGCAAAATCAAAGTTAAAAGTTAAAAGTTTTAAAGGTAAAAAGCAAACACATACAAACCACATAAGAGTAGATTACATCTTGTTTTGATTTTTTTTTAAAGTTTACCTGGTGGCTGCACGTTTTCTTGAACAATCCCAGCCCGATTTATTGCTTGCTCCTTCTCTAAGAAACACAATAGAATAATTACTCTTTAGAAAGAAAGTGATCATGGAGCGAGGAGGGTGGGGTAGGCACAAAATTGTATTTACATGGGCCAACGATACAGGACAAAAAGAGACATGAGATTAATGAAAATTATTAAATTCAGAGATGCCATCACTCAAAGCTTTTACGGTTGTGGAAGCCAGAGCCTATAATGCAAAAAGATTGAGTACTTTCAATAAAAACAAAAGCTATACTTCAAAAGAAAAGCTCCAACTAACATCTTTTTCCTGTGATCTCAGCATTTTGGAAAGGCAACAAAACAACAGAAAAAGAACAATTCTGAAGAAGTGGTGGGCGGGATATTATGAGCGGAAGGCTGCTGAAATGAAGGAACGAGTACAATTAACAAGAAAACGATGGCATTTCTATGTTTAAAACGCACTCCACTGAAGGACTGGACTCAGAGCTAAATATGCTATGTTTTTGATAGGAAATAGAGCAGAAAATGAATCTTTGGGTGGGTGGCTTTGGTTTGGGTAATTGAAGCTTCCCTAATTGATTGCAGGTGCTGTGCCAATTAGTAAGCGGGCTATAGCTACAGCAGCTAACCCAGTCTCTTTGGAGAAGTCCACCAGGCCAGGGCCAAGAGAAATTGAGCATTTTATGACTGTGGGCTTTCTAAGTGCTTTAGAACAAACCCAAGGCCTGTGACAACAAAGACTTATTATTTTAAGTATCTTGACAAACAAATGGCAGCCTGTTAGAAGAAATACTTGGAGCCAAAGGATGTTTACTACTAAATTATAGTAATTAAATGTTGTAATCAGAGCTTTGTTTTAACCAGACCGACAGTGTTTCTTTAAGTCCACATTTAGTTCTTATTTAATGCTAGCTCATTTTCTTTATTTTGGCCTCTGGATTCTCATAAAGTTACACAGGCACAAAGGTACCAGAACTAGGTTCTGCACACTCTGATATTCACCCAACATGTTTTTCCAGAGATGCAATGGAAAGTCACTCCTAAATAACCTGCCTGGTAGTTGTATCAATGCTCATTTTTGCTTTGGCAAATAAAACACTGGCCATGGAGATTATGGGACTCTTGATATCCAATTCTAAAGCAAGGAAGAAGATAAAGCACAATGAGGCTGATTATAGGCAATGGCTGAAAGTAGCAAGTAAAGAGCAACCAAGCCTCTGGGGCCCTAGACATGCCAAGATGTCTTCCAAGTCAAGAGGCTGGTATAGAGCCTTGAAGGTGCTAGACTTCTAAAACAAACAGTGTTCTCCCATCATAAGACTTAAACCAAGTTCCCGTAGACCTGAGTAGCCCACACTGCCAACATGTAAGTCTCCCAAGTAGGGATATCTCAAAAACACTTAGTGGAAGGCCACCTTGCCATCATAGTCCAGGAACGGAAACAGTCATAATATTCTAGACCTAAAAGGTTTATCCTCTGTTACTGACAAAGAGGAGGGATCAATGAGTTTGGGGAAATAATGGATAGTCATAGCATGTTGGACATGCAGATTTAAGAAAATCATTCATCTAGGTAGACCAAACGTGTTTTCTAGGAAGCAGGTACCTCAATGCCAAAGACAGTGCCAGGTCACCAGAACACTGAGCGCCACTGAAAGCTGCTTTGGGAGGTGAGGCAGAATGCTTAATTGTGCTCTAACCTCTTGTGAGGCAGCAGGGAAGAGTGAAGAGAAAGGAATCCCGGTCTGAACACTTCCTTGCTAATTGCTAATGAAGTTGGAGAGAGGTGGGGGATTTGTTTTAAACACACTGTAATCTCCTCTAATCCTGTTTCTGATGCAATCACCTCTGTAGTTTGACCTGGACAGGCAATTTAAACCAGTTCCTACCAAGTGATAACCAGGTATTAGTATCCTATCTACATCCGCTGGTTCTTTAATCCATTAATGTTTAATAAACACAGTAAGGCCAAGGCAGTCTTATGTAAATTCATGACAGCACAAAGACACATTATTTGTGACTACAGAATATGCTAAGAAACAGTCACCTGGGATTTAGCCAGCACATCTTGATGAAGTTGACAATCTTCTCCCTACTATCACTAGAGAACTGGCAAATAGATAAAGCTCTTGGGAAAAGAGCAATGCTGGAAGCCAGGGTTCCCACTATGTGGCTACGTGAACCAATAAGCTAATTACTGACTTCAGTCCTGAGCATGTTCGTAGAGTGGGTGAAACGATTAAAACCCAGCCATGGGCCAGTGAGTTAAGAAAATTCCCTACTCCAGTGTCTCAGCAAGCCCGACTCTGCCCCCTGGTGCTAAGGCAGTGCTTTGATTTGTAGTTTTAATTGAGAATCCTTACCTCTAGTCAAAGGGTGCAGGTGTATTATTAAAGAGGTTTATACATAAGGGTGTGCTGATTTGGCCATGGTAGGAAAAGAATCCACCTACTAATTTTTAAGTTTGTGGAAATAACGATGCATCCTTACACTGAATGTCCACATTAGGAAATAAATTCAGTGTGCCACTTTTTACTGAATTTAACACTGACAGCCACACAAAGAAATGCAGTACACTGAGCACCAGCTTCTCGGCAGTCTGACAATGGCCTTTTGCGGGTGGCTCTATTGGAGCCCCAGCAGGAAGCAAGCTAAAATAAATAAGCGGAGAGAAGCTGATGTCCAGGACTTCCTCCGGAATCCAGCTCCTCCATCGTCTCTTGCCAATGAACAGTTGAAATAAAAGCAACTCACAGTTGAAGTAATTGAGACAAACGGGGAAGGCAGGTCAGGACTGTATATTAGACAACAGCATTATATATCAGTTCTAAACTTCCTGCACTGGATCACTGACTGGGGTGAGGTAAGAAATGCCCTTTTCTCCAGAATACAGGCTCATGTGTTTAGGGATGAAAGCTTACAATGTCTTCAGTTTACTCTTAAATGGTTCTACAAAACAATAGTAATGATTACAATACACACATATAATTACGTGTGTATAGATGAAGACACACATGTACGTAAGACTCTATTAGGAAAGACAGCAAATGTGCAAAATGTTGGTAATTGGTACTACTCTTGGATCTCTGGTATCAGTTTGGAGTTTTTCTTAATATGGAAAAATAGCCAAATGCAAACATACGTATAAAAAAATGCAACAACACTGTAGCTGGTCCATGATGATTTCTTAAGGTATCTATGGTTTCTGAAAACAGGAAGTACAAATTTGGAGAGAAACCTACTACTTTGCTGTTAGGGTCCAGGCACAAACTATGCCACAAGAAATCCAGAACTCGATGTGTACCGCTGGCAGGTGTGAGCCAGAGGCTCAGGGGAACCACTGACCCTAACAGTAGGAGGTGAACAGCTGGCAGAGGGGACCCAGACAGCAGGTGTGAGGCAGTGACAGAGTGGGACTGTATCAGCAAATATAAACCACAGCTGAGGGGGATCCAGTGGTCCCAATAGTGACTGTGGAGCCACAGCAGCACGAGTGGACAGCACAGCAGGTGTGAAGCAGGAGCTGAGGGGGAGTAAGGAGCAACTGTTGCCAGCTGGCTGAGGAGACCAAACAGCTGTAACAACAGCGATGAGCCAGCTGGCGGAGGGGAATCAATGGCCATGATGGCAGGTGTGAATAGCTGGCTAGTGGGAGCCACATGGTCAGAACAGCAGGTATGAACCAGAGGCTGAAGAGACACCACACCACACCACACCGAACCTGAATAGAGTAAACGAGTATCTGAAGGGGCCAATGGCTACTGAAGCCCTGGCTCACTGCACAGCCGACAGACCCTGCTGCTCCCACGCCACTAATCTGGTTGAATCCAGGGAGCTTTCGGTGCTGGTTAGAAAACCAGCAGCCTCAGCCTGTCTCCACATTTCGTTGGTTGTATGGCAAAAGGAACAAGAGGGGTCTCTGGAGGACCCAGCGTAAGAGGGAGATTGGCTTTACAAGGGACATTATCTCCACAACAGGTAGCATCTTATAGCCACGTTCCGGCGGGCAGACACCACACTTTCAGGGAAACATGACTGGGCAGAACAGGCATCTCCTGCCAGCTCGCCAACCAGCGTTATGCTTGCGCCTTGCTGCCTCTTACACATTCTTCACTGTCTGAAAGGTACTAGGACAGGGTGTTAAGCTGGCAAGGGAGTCAGGATCCAGTGTGTACCCAGTACTTCATGTGCTAAGTGACACTGGGCAAGTCATTTACACAAGGGGAATGCATGAGCTCAAGCCTCTTCTGGCAAAGTCCTATGGTCTCCTGCTTCTGCACATTTAACTCAAATAAAAATGAACGAGGTCACAGACATGATCTGATTCTGTTTTACCAGTTGATCACAGGACCCATAACACATACCATTTAAACGACCATATATATGCAGGATCACCATGTAGTTCTAGGATACAAAGACAGGTCAGATTTCTAATGCCACCTTGCCTTCCCTAAATGTGCCCACCTCATAAACCATGTTGTGCAAAAAGATGGAAGTCGCATCACAGCAAAATAGTTCTAAGCCCTTGGTTCTACATAGCTGACCGCAGGCCAACTGCCACAGAACTGACCTTGTAATCCAAGAGAACCTATAAAGTCGTGCAAAGTTAATGGATGGAAAGAGCTGCAGATCACAGTGAATGCAGACATCTCCTAAGGCAGACTTTGCAGTGGCCATTGTGGAAGGTCCCCTTGGCTCTTTACTGAGTATCCATCCTCGTTTCTGCTGCCTGCAGGCTCATTCTAGCAGACTTGGAATCTACTTGTCCCCATCCTCCCCACACCCAGCCTGGCCCAGCTGAAGGGTCCAGAGGGACCTACTTTGGGGCCCACATGGCCTGGGATCCTTCCTCACCAGGCCTCTGGCTCCAAATCTTGTTTTTACTAGAAACTAAGTTCTCAGTCTTGCCCTTCCAAGAACTGTGGACTTGACCTTCTGACTATGGCTGATGTCCAGGGCAGAAATACATACAGGTCATTGGGCTTCTGGCTATGGCTGATGTCCAGGGCAGAAAAGTGTACAGGACAGCCAGCAGGGAGGGCTGACAGCAGACAGAGGAGCAGCTGGAAGGCAGAGGCTAAGGCTTCGAGGTCTCTGCAGATGCCTAGGCACAATGTTTCAGAGTGGGACCCTCTTCCTTCAGGCTGTGCTTCTTATTCAGAGAGGACCTGCCTTCCTGGGTCACAGGGAACGTAAGCTATGGCCGACAGTACTTATGACTTGCCAACTTCAAAGCCATGTTGAACTACATCCAGATGGTTCCTTCCCCAGAAGACGTGCCCGGCCTCCTCCTGAGGTTCTACTGGGTACCTGAGCTCAGAGCCTGCCATGCCCCCTCCGTGGGCTGTCCTCTTTCCAGCACCATCTGTCTGGGCTCTCCTTTCTCTCCACCCCTCCCCAGAGCCCTTGACCTGCTGCAAATGTTCCCTTCCTGGTCTCCTCAACCAACAGCCAACTTTAAAAACACAGGTTAGTAGGTTACTGACTTGGTTGCAATCTCTTTGCTCAATTTTAAATCACTGTAAACATTAACAAAATAAGCAATATTTTTGTCTTCTTTTTGCTAAACCCTATACATGATTTCACCTATCTTTCCCATGGTCGCCAAGCAACCACTCCTCCTTTCGCCTCTAGGCCACACCCCTTTCACCACCCAGTCTTCCTAGGCCTTGTGACAGGATATTCTCGGGAGGCCTTAGCCTACCTCCGTAGCCACTCCTCTTCCATCTTTTCTGAGGGTCCCCTCATCCCCTGCAGGCCTTTCCTGAGACCTTCACACTCTGGCATTCACTGGCCTCTGGACTGGGCCAGTTTGGCTCTTCCTGCCCCAGCCCAACATACCCAGTGATGGTCTGCCCACGTGCCCTGGCACTCCAGATCTGTGAGTCCACTGTCTTTGTGCACATCTAGATGTGCACATCTGGATTCCTAACCTTCAAGCTTGTCCTCACCCCTACACCGATGTCTTCTAGTGTTTCCTATTGGTGATCAGCACCACCGAGGCTCCAGCTGCTGGAGCCAGAAGCTTCCTGGGGACCACCTTCCTTTTCTTCTCTCTCCCTTATCTACAGGGCCACAAGTCACAAGTCCCCTCAGTTTATTACTCTCTTAGACCCACAACCACCTGTGGTTCAGGCCAGTGACTGCTCCCTGAGGCCAAAAGAAATCCAGCCTCTGCATCTGCCCCGCTGGGGTCCTCCTTCTCACTGTGAGCGCCTGCGCAGCACACACCATCACTGCTGTCCTTGTCAAGTACTTCAATAACCCTCCACTGGCTCAGGGGACATAGCACATTGCAAAAGTATTTTAATCAAGTCAGCTAGATGATCAAATGTGAAGAACGAATGGCAGGACAACAGGCTTTTCCTCAGCCGAAGACCTGGGGGGACTCACATTTCTTATCAAGCAAACATTTCCCAAAGAAATTCTAACAGATGTATTCCAGAAAGAAATTGAAACTACGGAGGGAAGAAAAATAGATCTCTGAAGGATGTGTGCAAAGATGAGCCACCAGTGACTGAGTGTGACCACCAGCGGCGGTACCGACTGGCCTGGGAGCAATTAGAGCATCATGGGAGACATGTGGACTAGAACAGGTTAGGCAGAGAACAATGGAAAGAGCTGTTCGACCATCCTGTTGTACCTAACACTGCCAGTGGCCGAATGACCACTAACATCCTGGCTTTGAACAAAAGCAAGAACAGCAGCTAAATGAATGCCAGTCAAATGCACTGCAGTAAACTGCAGCTCTGACCACCCAGCAGGTTCCCCAACCTGATCTCAAACACCCAACAAGGCACCTGGGACCCAGTTCACTACCAGGTCAGCAAGCCTGAGGTCTGTGCACCTGCTTCAGTCTCCTATACCCCTGCCCTTGGGCTTTGTTTTTAAAAATGCCTTGTGTGTGGAACATTTAACATAAGACTATATGGTACTAATCTGGTATGCAACCATTAGCTCATTTAATTCACCCCTACCTTGTAAATTCTATCCAGTAAACTCCATAGTTATGGATGGAGAAGAGGGAAGGGCTCAGAAAGGTGAAGTAATTGCTTCAAGGTCTTTCATCTAGCAAGATGCTGAGCCTCCCTCCTCTCCCTCCTCCCAGCCCTCCAGAGGTAGTATGATTTAGGGATTAAGGGCAATAGTTCAAATCCCAGATCAGTGGCTCCTCAGTTGTGGGTCCTTGCCAATTTATTTAATTGTTCGTTTACAATGGGGATGAAGATCATTCAGCATAATAACACACAGGGTTATTGTGAACACCATATGGCTTAATATATTGGTTGTGTTTAGAAAGGTATCAAATATCTTTCAATTAAAAAGTAGATGTTCTGTATTATTTACTTGTTTAAGGAATCAGCTCTGACTCTCAGGTAAGTTTCCCAAATTAATCAAAATAGAACCAGAAAAGTGAGTAAGCATCAACAGCTTCCCAGTTTAAAGAACAGCCACTCAACTAGGCATGGTGGCTATGCTTGTAATCCCAGGACTTGGAAGAGTAAGGCAAGGGGACTTTTGAGTTGGAGACTAGTCTAGGTTACATAGTGAGACTCTGTCTCAAAAAAAAAAAAAAATATATATATATATATATATATATATATGAAGATAAATGGTGGCTATTGCAGTTACATTTATAAAATATTCGCCCCAAACGGGCTGATTTACTTATCTATTTCAAGCAATTCAGACAGCCTGTCAGACAAGTATACATGTCCTATGAAACACACACCTAACCTTGTCCATGTAACCCAAGCTGGCTGGTAAATCATCATGGAGACCATCCTGTGCCTACATAATGTTTATCCTAGATTCTATCCTGTGGATTCCTTGTCTTCAGTTCCCTCTTTGTGACACACAAAAAATGTCTCCAAATAAGGCCACTTGCCCATTAAGGAGGAAAAAAAAAAAAAACCACCCCAGTTAAGAACCATTGATCTAGCCTCCATAAGAGAAATCTTGCTAATGGGACCTAAAGTATTCCCTTTGTCCCAGGTTCAACTCTAGAAGCCATAATAAAATAGCCTGGGGCAGAGATTCAGTGAAGGGAAAAATGATGATGGAAACAGATTGCACAGGACTTTCACAGAGGCCCCCATTATCCCACTCTATCCCGCACAGGGTGCACTGAAGCCAGGCTGGAAGTCAGAAGGCAGGAGCCATCTCCGTTTTGGCTAATGGAAAGAAGCTACAAGGAAATCTAAGCCCTTAAAAGGCTCCCCCTCCAGAAACCAAATGTGAGCAGCGTTTTTGTGATGGGCAGAGCATTTACATGGAGCTTTTGCCTTCAAATCACCAAGCTTCCAGCCTCAGCTAATATCCTCCAGGGACAGGGCTGGCCCTTTTCCATCTTCGAGATGATTCAGGTTTCCTGGAGAACAAAATGAGCCTCTAATGCCTAATATTTTGTCTCTGACAAATGGCTTCAGATGTATCAAAGTGCTAATCCTTCCTGAGGTATAGGTCTCAAGGAAGGAGAGTTTGGCTTTTAGAATGATAGGACTGGAATGATTAAGGAAGAAAATTACTCCCAGGATATTCCCCATTGTCATGTGAGCAACCAACTTAAAATGAAGGAAACCAGCAGAAACTGAAAAACGATCGGAGGAAAAAGGAGAGGAAGAACTAAAAACCCCAGGTTAACAGTTTAGGGTTGAGATATTTCTGCTCAAAGATATCTTTGGGAGTGGAAAATGAAGTGTAATAAAAACACCTTTCATCTCAGGACATCCATCTGCCTTCTCCCTACACCATCAGACTCTGCTTGGGTGTCTGGAGGAGGTTTCGAAGATACAGGCCCGGGTGGGCATAAATGCCTTCCCACTTACTATCTGTGCGACCTTGAACAACCTCTACAATTTCTCGGGGCCTCAGTTCTCGCCTCTGTAAAATGGGAAGACGTCGTGCAAATTAAATGATCCAGCATGTGCTTAACCTGACACACGGTGTCAGTTGGGTGAGCCTGCACTTCGTGTCGACCTGCTTCATACACACCACGTCCCCGAGCCTTCCGGGAGACGCCTCTTCCTGGACAGATGGCTGTAGTCAACAGGAGCACTGAAGGTCAAGAGGCTGCGGGACTAGAACCCGGGCCTGCTTGAGTCCACCGCACCAGGTGACCTGACAGGGACAGGGGTAGGGGAGGATGGGGTCACTGGGGCCAGGCCACCGCGCGGGGTCAGAGGTCACTCACGGTATTCCTCCACCCTAATTAGAGGCCGGAAATAGATGGGGTAGAAGGCTGCGCCGACCAGGGAGACGAAGCCGCCGAAAATGAGCGCGGTGCGCAGGTTCCGGGACGCCGACATGGCGCCAGGCCGGGAGCGGGGGTGACCCAAGCGAACCCAGCACGCTCGGAGACCTTCTCCCGCCGAATGGGCCGTGACCTTCTCGGAAGAGGCGGAGCGCCTTTCACTTCCGGGCCTCGGGGCGGGGTGAGGGTAGAAAACGACGCCAGAGGCGTGGTCTCCGCGCAAGATTGGGGCGTGGCTATGGAAGGGGTGGAGGTTGGGGCGTGGTCTCCGCGTTGGGTGGGCGGGGCCTCTGGCGGGGTGGAGCTTGGGGCGTGGTCTCCGCGCCGGGTTGGGCAGGGCGGAGCCGAGGGCGTGGTCTCAGGGGCCATTCACCAGGAGGCGGGGGCAGAGTGCAAGGGGCAGGTGGGTTTTCTGTGGCCCTGTCTGCCTTCTGCTCCCTGTCCTCGAGCTGGTTCCTCCCACCCCCGCGCCACTCACCCGTTCCAATACTTTCTCCTCTGTCCCTCATTAATTTGGTATTTAGTGACTGCCACAAGCTCCCACCATCTCTGACCATGGCTTGACAGCAAGCCTTGGGACAAGTCACTGGGCTTCCCTGAGAGCAGTTTGTGGGGGTGAGAGACAAAAGGGCAACTCGCCCTTTTGGCCCAGGATGGCCTGAGAGGTGTTTCTGTAACCCAGGTCACAGGGTTGCTGGACCAAGACCAGCCTGGGAGCAATGTCCTTTCAGCCACCAAACTGAGAATTATCTTTCGTGACTCTTCCCATCCCCCTCGTCTCTCCCTTGGCTCAGCACATAACCAAGTCATCCCTCTGTGGTGGGATGACAGGGTTGCCAGTGAGGATGAAGAGTAGATGGGATCAGGGAAGGGCAGAGCACCATATACCAGTTCCTCCACCCATAGGACCCTGAGACTCCAGCTTGTGGCCTGGAATGGGGGTATTGAAGACAGACATCTGACACCTCTTCCTGTGATTGCCACCCTCTAACCTCTGCACCTGTCCCCTTTATACATGGGTATGACTGAATATGATCTGCCCAGGGAACTGGGCAGCTGAGATTCCTTGTGCCTATATTCAATCTTTTATAAATAGAAAAGGTACCAGCAGCTTGGGCTCAGGGGGGGGGGGGGAATGAGGACGTTTATCTTGAACCCAGTAGCATTATTTAGCCCTGAGAAGATCTATACTCTTTCCGAAATGGCGGAAAACCAACATAGGTTTCCTCTTTCTTCGTAGTTTTGTAGTTGGATCAAGATACCCTATACTTCCAAGACTCTAGAGATATAAATCATGTGCCTGATCTGTCAGCAGATTAATAGATGAACTGCCATTCCCCAAACGCCAGGCAAAGTGCTATGGGGGACACAGATAAATACAATGTGACCTCTGCTCTCCAGGACCCTGCCATAGAACAAATACATAAAAAGATAACTCACGATCAACACAGCCTGTTACCAATGAGTGATATGGTCCTGTGGGGTACAGAAATTCAGAGGAGGAAGAAAGATGACTATGCGGTGAGGCGGCTGCTCCTCAGGCAGCACTTGTTGGCTAAGGAGAAAAGACTTCACAGCATGGAGGGAACTTGTGAGACATGCTTTCTATCACATGATAGAAAATACTCAGGTAGAGTGTGCATTTATCATTTTAGCAGCCCAGCATCCACTTCTTTTTTCTGTTAAGAGTACCCTGAATACCTTCTGGGAAATCACTCCTCTCCCACTCCTGGTCCACAAAGGAAGAAGGACTTCCTGTCCTCATTGTAATTCTTCCCAGATTCTAGAGTTAAACATATCACCACGCTGACCCAGCTTCCTTGTACATGGATTGGTTGGCACAGGACTCAGGACAGTATAGTTGCATCATTCTGGTGGCATCTGCAATATATCCATGTGTATCCTGTTACTTCCTAGGTGGCATTGTCACAGTGGATTACTTTCATTGCTCATATTTTGATGAGACTATTGTACATCTGCTTGCCAGTGATCCTGATGCTTCCCTGGTTTTCCCTTGCAGGCTGATTCTTGAGTGTTCATTATATTCTATATGACCCAAGCATAATCTATCCCAGTCCTTCTGGAAAACTGGATTTGAACATGAGGGAATTAGAAGCTAGAGCTATTGGAGGAGACACTATTTAGGGACTGAAAAAGTCCCTAAACTATTAATTCAACCAGCCAATTCTGTTTGTGTGTCTCCTTCATGCACAGACTTCATGGTTGATGGGGATACAAAGAGAACTCATTCTGCTTCTTGAATTCAGCTGGTTTGAGGAGCCAGGCCCAGGGCCAGATGGTTTTCAGGTGCTGGTAGAAGCAGTAGTGAATAGAACAGCAATCTGTTGTCCTCATGCTTGTTCCCTGTCTGGTAGGAGCAGAAGATGTGGAGCTCAGAGTGACTGCTACCTACTTTCCCTAGAAATAGTGCCTGATGTCTTTCAGAAAATGACCTCTCATCTTGGCTAAATTGTAAACCCAAGGATTATTTGTACTCCTGAGCAGTGCAGGACTAATAGCAAGTTCTGTAGAACACCTGCTCTGAGCAATCACTGTCATAATTTCCTCAGTCAGTACTCACTGTGCCTGGGAAGAAATGGGGAGAGAGACAGAGAGACAGAGACAGAGAGCAAGACTGAGACAGAAACAGAGACAGAGACAGAGAAAGAGAGGAGTTGCGACATATTGAGAATTACTTGCTCAAGCTCAAAGTCACTTACTTGGCCAGTAAGTGACAGAGAAAGGAGCCAAGCTCATACTCTCTGGAAAATATGACAAATAAGATTTTTTTATGTTGATGATGATGATGTTTGCTTATTGTTAAGTCCTAGGATTTGTACTCAGGGTTTCTCACTTGAGCCATAGCCCCAGCCGCAGAGACCAGCTTTGGACCACCAAAGTAAATTGCTTTGCAAGTCAGTGAGCTTGTGCTGCCTGGTGTGAATATAGTCCAGCCTAGCCCAATTATTTTCTTCCTCCCAGAAATAAGAATCTAAGGACAGTGACACATAAATGGCATTATCACAGTAGATGTCTTCCATTTGCTAATGTCTGGCAAGATGATTGTGCACCTCTCCTGCTTACCCATAATCCTAAGAGCTTTCCTGATTTTTCCCAAGCTGTTTGCAGAGTGTTTGTTATATTCTATAGGCCACCCCATGTGTAAACTCTATTTGAACCTTAGTTCTTCACAGTCAGCTTCAGTTCATGTCACCAGGAGCTCTAAGAGATGCAGAAATCAACACAATTATGTCCAATGTATAGCATAGATGAGGGGCTTTTGGGCTTTATAGCTGTGCTAATGTTTAAAAAGCCAAAGGAAGTTTAGATGTGTGTAGGGGGGAAAGTATTTGTGCAAAGAAAAAGAGAGCCTGAGACAGGATTCAAGTCAAATATGACAGGAACCCTAGGGTGCCGATTTTCATCTCAATCACTGAGAAAAAAATTCGGTTCGGACTCCTACACAGCACTTTTCCCTTCGTTCCTTGGATGTGAAGATTGAATGCTTGCAGGGAGCAGACCGCCAGTGGTGTCTCACCAGAGTACAGACAGACATCAAAGTTAATCCACTCTCTGATCTAAGCAAAATGGTGACGACAGTTTCCTGGGACAGCAGCTCCACTAATTGTGGCATTGCAGCCTGGCAGATGTATTTTTAGAATAGTGTAGATTCCCAAAAAGTATAGTTACTGGCTGTAGGGAAACAATCTGGAAACAGAGTGGGCTCACCCAGAATTCTCTGGACTGATGCAGGGAGAAGAAGTTTGAAAAGAGAAATATTTTCTTGGTTTTATAACTCCCCAAGTCTCTACCTCTCTGTTCAAACATTTACAAGACACATCATTTGTCAAATGTGTCTTTCTCTCTTTTTCTTTCCCTTGCTTGAGCTCAGGGCCTGGGCACTGTCCCTGAGCTTCTTTTGTTCAAGGCTAGCACTCTACCACTTGAGCCATAGCACCACTTGGCCTTTTCTATTTATGTGGTATTGAGGAATCGAACCTAGGGCTTCATGCTAGGCAAGCACTCTACCACTAAGCCACATTCCCATCCCCAAATGTTTCTTCTTTTATCTATGCTTTTCATGTAAGAAATCTCCCCAAATGTCTAGCTTGGCTTATTTCTTGTCATACTCCCAGTTTTAAGCCATATCTTTATGACTTCCAGACACAGGCTTTGGGCTGAACTCCAGCATCATGTGCCTAGAAGAGAGCTTTAACTCCAAGACCACTTTTCCTCTCTCCCTCTTTATCATCGCTGCCCTTGGCCTGAGTTATGATCTGCTCTGTCTGGCCATAGCTTCTTAGCTGGTTTTAGACATGCCATCTTTTTCTGTCACTAAACCACCTCATTCATAGGACAGCTGTGTTAGTCTGTCTACTATACTTTTATAAGTGAAGAAAAGACATTTATTTAGCTCACTGTTTTAGAGCTTGAAAATCTGAGATTCTGGAACCCCATCAACTTGGCCTCTGATGAAGGCCACAGTAATAATGAAGCCTGCAATAGGGATCCCACAGAATGTGGAGACATGCCAATCTTGCTCTTTTCCAACAACCCACTCTTTGATAAGTAACCCCCTCAATCAAGAATTAATTCTTCTTCCAATAAATACATGAGGAAATGTTCAACATCCTTCTTAGCCAAAGAAAAAGTACAAATCACAATGATGTTGAGATTTTATCTCATCCTAGTCAGAATGGTCATCATCAAGAAAATAACAAATGCTGGTGAAGATGCTAGAGAAAGGATCCTTAACACATTGTTCATGGGAATGTAAATTAGTGCAAACACTCACTATAGAAGGCATCATGGAGATTCCTCAGAAAATTCAAAATACAGATACTCTATGATCCAGCCATACCAAAGGAATGTAAGTCAACATACAAGAGAAATACCTGCATACTCACGTTTATTACAGCACTGTTTATAATAGCCAAACTGTGAAATCAACACAACCAATGACTGGATAAAGAGAATGTGATGTATTATTCATCTGTTTAAAAAGAACAAAATTCAGGGACAGGAGGGAAAAACTGGGAGAGAGGACGAGAGAAGGGGTGACATTGTCCAAAAAGAAATATACACTTTACCTGACTTATATAACTATAACCCCTCTGTACATCACCTTTGTAAT